GTGGTGTAGACATTTGAGCTTGGGCTGGAGCACAGGCTCTAAGACCCTGTGAGGTAGGAGGGTCCCGGAGCTCGGGCTGCAGCCTGAGTCTGAACACCTACATCATAGCCCAAGTGAGCTGGTGTGGGCCAGTTGCAGGAGTCTAATTGCAATGTAGACATACCCTAAATGACCATAAAGAGGAGCCAGGCTCTTCTCATTATTTTCTTTATTTTGCAGTCATTATGAGTTTGTTTACAAGAGCTGTCCTTGTACTATGAAAAAAAGGAGAGAACATTTTTAGAAAGTACTGTCTCATTTGTATGTGACTTACAAGATATTTTGCCAGAAGTTTTTCAATTTCTAATGCATTTCTGTGGTAATAAATATTACTGTTTCTGACAGCAAAAGGAATTGTTATGTAGCGTATAAAATTAGTTGCTTATATACTTTAACTCTGATTTCGTGCTCAGTTGTTGTAATGAATGGGTTTCAAGGACAAACCAATTCTGGAGGTTTGCAAAAGCACATGTGCTAATGAGACATCTAGTGCCAATCCAACCACAAAGTTTGCATGTCCTTCACATATTTTGTTACCACTTTCCTGGCATTTAGCAGGCAATTAAAAGAGCAATTATCTTTTCTATCCTACAAATTGAGCAAAACTGGATCTCAGATTTCATATTAAATATTTCTGTTTAGAGGGCCAGGGCTAGCTCTTGTGAAGCAAGTTAGTGATTAGTATAGTAACACAAACATGTGGTGTTGAAAAAAATCACCACATATGGCAGAAGTAGTGCTACTCTGTATATTACTCCCATTGGGCCAGAGTCTGATACTGTACACATGTTGAATAGAACCTTACTCGTAGTTAGGCAATGAGCCAAAACTGTACATGAGCTTGGAAATTCAGACACTACATTTCACTGTTTTTTTCAAACGTGTAAGTATCTGAATTTATTACTGCCCCGCTTATTTGCTGATAATAAGTGAAGTGAAATATATTAAATCTAATCATCTACTTTTGACGATGGGTATATTTCTTATTCATGGATGGCAGGAAGCCCTTACTTGTTACTCATGTGGTGTGGTACAAATTGGAATCAGTATTTGAATTGAAAATAAGTAAGTATTTCACAAATTTATCTCTATACCAAATCCAACAAGAACAGTATCAAGAACATGAAAAAAGTATCATTAGTAAGGGCTAGTGAACCATAACATACAGAGGGGAATAAACATTGAAGCATATATGCATAAATAATTTGATAGAACTGTTTCCAGCTTCAAAAATAGCATATCCTAAATCTACATCATAAAATACAGTAATACATGCAAAAACAAAACTCAGTACGACAATAGAACGAAATAAAGCAATTACTTTAACAAATAATTTAATAATAGAGTGAGAGGGCATTTATACTGGGGTGTTCTGGCTAAATTTCAACTCAGGTAATTATATTTTGTTTACCTAAATTCTTCCTGCAGTTTCAGTTGGAAATGTTTTAACTTGTGTAACATCCCAGTGTGCTGCAAAGAGATTTTGTTTCACCCCAGAAGTGGCTATATTTAACTGACAGCTAAATCTCTATATGTATACAAACCCCTTGAGGTTTGTAAGTGTTTTGGGATCCTTCAGGATAAAAGGTATTATATAAAATTATTACACCGATGATTGTTTATGCTAGCAGTACATATAGGGCGGGGGGGGGGGAGGGGGACTTTGTTAGAGGAAAACAAGAAGTGGAAAATGTGAAAGCAAAATGTCCTCAAAAAGTACGCAGTCTTTCACCATTAGTCTTATTGAAAGCTGATAGCCTGCAGTCAGGCATATTCTTATTTCTGTAATGAAATTTATGAACAGATAATAAGAGGAGAGGATATGAATATTGCTTCTTGTTGCCATCTTTTCATGACATTTTAGTTAATTACCCTGTACCATAATGATGTACTGCTGGGTGTGCAGAGATTCAAGATAGCAAGGTAGTGATGTAGTTGCTTTGAGAAACGATGCCAACATTGCATCTCTGCGTGAAGTTGGAAGGAGAAGAAACAGTTGATCAAATGTCCCAAACTCAGAATAAATTTTGATCAGGCAAATAAACCTCTGCAGGGTTAAGGAGGCTTCACCTTCACCTTTAACCATATGTGTAAGGGGGTTATTCTACCACAGCAAACCACTTGCCTACTAAACTAAAGTAGTCAGATTTCAGGAGTTGGTCCGCTCATATGAACTTCTTCTGGAAAAGATTATTTGAATAAGAAAACACTAATTGATCAAGATTATCAGGCAGAATATCCTCTGCAGGTTCTTTAGATAGGGATCAGATAGCTCTGGATGTTCACTCTGCAAGTTGCAAGATGACAGTGTGAAACTATAGCTGTTGGAAGGGCACCCAGTCTACTGTTATAAAATAAGAGCAAAAGATGGTTGCTTGGTCCAGTACTGTCCTATTTTTGCATGTGTATTGGAGAGGGCATTTGGCCGGTGCACACACACACAATATTTGCCTCTTTGTTTATACGTACGTAGCTACAGTTTATATCCCAGATATAAAATAAAGTATCTAGAGAAGTATAGGCTGCAACTTGTCTTTGGAGTCAGCCTTCTTTTGTTGGTCAATATATAGGATAGTGACTAGGTTATAGACATCACTTTTAAAGAAGAGATGGAAGTGACATTTTATAAACTAGTTCTGTTTATGTTTCCAGTAGTTTAGACAGACTCAAGAAGGGACACAAATATTTTATTATATAAGGATAAAAAATCCAGGAAGATGTCAAGTGTATTCAAAAATAGTTACCTGAATTCCACTAAAGGATTAATGTACAGCTTCTCTTCCTGTCAACACCTCATGGATTTCTCCCCATGCCTGGGCCATCTGTACTGTTCAGTTTAATCACTCAGGAAAGTCATGAGCCCTGCTGCATGCCTGCACAAGACAGTAAATATCCCCCTTATTCCTCTGTGTGGTTTACCCACATTGCCAGACCATCTGCATGGGGGAGAGCTGCTATTCCTCTTCCTGCACAGATGAAAGGGTGGAGCCAAGACTCTGCACCATGCGCTCCTGTCCCATCCCATCATGGAGCCATGGTGGAGGTGGCAGTCATCTGTGGCAGAAAAGGGATTGATGCAGCCAAGAGCGCCGCCAGCTTTTCTGCCGCCCTAGGCGGCGGAAGGTCCCGCCCCGAAATGCCGCCCCCCACAGAGGCAGCGGAAGTTCCCGCCGCCGAAATACCGCCGCGGTCGCCGCCCCCCAAATTTTAGTGCCCTAGGCGACCGCCTAGGTTGCCTAATGGGTTGCGCCGGCCCTGGATGCAGCCTACTTCCACCATGAAATAAGGCATCCAAATTGTTATTCTCAGAATCACAGTTAGGTCCCTGTCCTGCTCCTGGGCCAGCACAGTTATTCACTATCCACTGTCCCTTAATTGGACTGGATTTTGAGGTAACAATCTAGCCACTAGAGCCGGGGAAGATTATAAAAGGCAGAGAATGAGAGAACAAAGCTTTTCGCTCATTACATCACAAAGGGATGGATGCTCATGGGCTGGAGACCGTGGGATAAGCCAGCCCTGGTTACAGGATGAGACACACCTGGGTTGCATCAAGTGATCCGCATGTAAAAAACAATGCAGGAAGTGGCAGTAAAGGGGGAAGACAAGGAGATTGCAGCTATGGCTGTAGATACTGCTGGGAGCAAGAAGGCTTCTGCAGATCCTGAATCAGCAGGGAAAAAGCTGAAGAAGCAGGAGAGAGTGGGAGAAGGCTCTTCAGGCAGGGAGGCCTCGGGGAGACCCTGTCCAAGCAGGGAAGAGACTTGTGATGGCCAGCTGGGCCAAAGACTGCATGAGCTTGTGCTTTGTTAATCAGCAGGCAGACAGTGAACTGGCCTTAAGGCCTAGAGCAGCGGTCTCCAAAGTGGGGTGCGCAAGAGGATCCTTGGGGATGCGCGGCAGTTTTGTTTTGTTTTTGGTTTTTGGTTTTTTTGCTTTGGCGCAGCAGGGGGTGCGTGCTCAACATTTTTTTACTGATAGGGGTGCGCTATCAAAAAAGTTTGGAGACCACTGGCCTAAAGGACCAGAGGACTCAATAAAGTAGACTCCAAGAGAGAGCTTGTTTGAACTACGTGTGGACAATCAGTTCTGTAAACGGCCCCGAAGAGAGGGGTAACAGAGGCAGAATGACGTAGAATGACCTTTGGCCACTTGGCTCAGGTTGAGGCCAGCCCATGTTTAATTGCAAATGTATTCATTAAAATGAAGAATTTATTCTTTTTGAAACACACTTACAATGCCTTATAATTATTTTTAATATTGACTATTATGTGTTACTTGATTAAATACATGCTGAATTTCACAACAGTCATGGATTTTCCATGAGAATATTGTAAAGCAAGAGTGGACAGTTGATGTTGAATAACAATATAGAAAATAATCTGTGGGAACCCCTAGATGATGAGAATGCCAGAACAAAGAGAGACTCCTTGATAAACAGGTAGCAAAATTTTGGAGAACTTTTCACAGACAATAAAATATTGGCATATCCCACCAATAGGATCATAAATATATTCTCAGTGGCTTGTTTCCATGCAAATTGGTCACAAGAGTTTTGCTCCATTACTCCTGAGAAGCTCAGCAATGAAGATAAATTAGGTAGCCCACAAGGATGTATTGGAGGGCCTGATCCAAAACCTACTGCATTCAATGGAAAGACTTAATGGGTGCTGGATCAAGCCCATATACCAATTAGTTCTAGGTTCTAAGCCTGCCATAACCCTTTCCTTGAAACGCTACCCCATCGCTGACTTAAAGTGATCTTGTAGCATCAGTGTGTCTATGCTGGGTGGGGCTCATTACAATAACCCTTATATTGAGATGCTGTGTAGTCAGGTATGCAATGTAGTGTTGTGGTGTTTCTTTTTTTCATCATATTGTGAATGTCAATTGATGATTATATAAATTTTAAATTGACATCGAGTCTGCTTTGTAATACTCAAAGTATTTTATCTTCACAGTTTGCCGGGAAGATTCATATCAGTCCATAGTCTCCTGTGCTGCCGTAGTACTTACACCCATAGAACCACCTGGGGAAGCAAAGAAAAAAGAAGAGCCAAAATATCCTGATGTGACCAAACGGTGAGTGAATTGTTAAAATATTTGTTTCCATTGCAATTTAAGCAGCAAAACCAAATTGTGCCCTTAGATATGCATGAGCAATTCCTTTCCACTTCCCCAAGATTTATGATGATATAGCTGAGGGCAGAAATTGGCCTGAGCCTGGGTAAGTTTCTTTTGTTTAACAGTAAACACCTTCCAGTGGTTGTGGTAATGAGGAGGTTTTTCAGTGTGAGGTAGGCAACGGACATTCATATCCCAGGAAATAGATTTTTAAAGAGTTTTATTACGGTTTTGTATTTCTATATAAATAATTCTTAATACTTGCATAATCTTTCTATTCAGTAACTGATAGTTTAAAGACCATTCATTCCTAAAAGCTTTGCTCTACTTCGATATTTCAGTATTTTTCAGTGACTGTTTTACTGCTTTGATGTAAGGTCTGATGGCAGCTTCAGGAGTGTAGTAGTGGGCTTCCAAGTAAATCCTATCAAATTAAACAGACTGTAGTTTGATATCTTGCACCACTGCTTTGGATGAGAATCATAACCACAGCATGGGTAGCAGCATTTATCTTGAAATACCAGGCAGGATGGTTGTTCCTTAACAATTGAGTTCTTGGAGAATGGAAAAGACACATTTTTAATGAAAAGAAGAAAATACTTTGTGCAGTGACAAAGCACTGCAGTTAACATTGTAGGCCATACATTTTAAAATGCACAAGGTAATTTTAAAAATAATTTAGGATTCTATAGTATCAACCATCATTACTCAAGGATAGATCTTCGGGCTGCATTAAAGTCCTTATCTTCAGTTCAGCTAGCAGTAAGGAAACTTAATTTTGGATATTTATTATCAGAAATTCTATTTCCACAAAACCTTAGTCTGAACACTTGCAAACTTTGAAAGGTTAAGAAGCTAGAAATCAGGTCCTCAACCTAGATTCAAATGTGGTAAGTCAGGATCAAACTTAGAAATATTTGCGCTCTTTCTATTTTATTGCAACCAGTAACAGATCTGACCCGCGACACCAGATCTGAAGTCTGTCCATCCCCATTCCTTCTAACCTACATAGGCAGTTTGAATTCAGATCCAGATCAAGATCTGAACTCCATGGCTCAGGCCTGTATCCAACTGTAATATGTATTCCACTTTTGAGATAGACTCACAACAAATGACTTATCTATAATTAAATGATTAGCTACATCATAGACATTACTTTTGCTATTATTACATTCAGTCAAATATTGGAACATATTTTTATAGAGTGTGTAATGGTATTTTAGGAACATGATTCTGCATCATATCCTTCTGTACCTCTCTGAATAAGAAGTATTTGAAGAAGGTTTTAGGACTCAAAGTTTTGGACTGGGATCTAGAGTATTCAGGCTGAAACACTACAGTAAATTTGTATTTTCCCTCCACTGAGAGGTAAACCTGCAGTGTTCTTTGTTCTACCTTCTCCACTACTAATAATGATCTGCAGTTTCGCCTTTGTAATCTCTTGTGGATTTGGTCTAAGGCAATTTCCGTATGTGCTCAAGGAGTGAATGATGCTTCCTGGTTGACTTTTTCCTTCACCTAATTGATATTAGCAAGTCTGTTTTTCCCCCCTTTAAAAACACACTGGCGATGTTTTCAAAAGCACCGTGGCAATCATATCAATGTCTCTGGTCTCATGCACACACGGGTCTCAGTAACAAGCTCTGACCTCTGATACTGTAGAGATTTGCATACTTCAAAATGTGCACCTCTTGCACTGTGACTGCTGAAACATATTTGAATGTATCCGCATGAATCGAAAGCAAATACTATCACTTGATTAGTATATTTGTAACAATACATCTCCCAGACTATACAGGGGGCAGGAGGGAAACACATCTCCAGAACTGCTGAGCATATCTTTGATTAAGATTTCAGTAAATTACCTTGAAATTTTCAAAGCATATTGGAACCAGTTACTTAATTTTATCATTCATTTATTGTGTGATGTTATGATTAACTAACATGTCATGTCATATATAATCATTGTATGCTAAATAGATTTAAATTGTAGGATTATAGACGTATGAGATTGATTAGTATTTAGACATAAGTGTGTATTAGGTATCTAAGTATTTAGGGCTGAATCGCAAACCTACAAGCTGAGGCCTGTAAAATGTCAGTTTAGCAATACTAGGCCATAGATTTAAGAAATCCTTGACATAAGTGACCAAAGAATTATGCCACAAAATTATGAGAAAAGATTTGCCAGTGAGTGATATTGTGAAAAATTAAAGGCAAGATTAACTTTTTATTACAAGATACCCGATAGTCACATTTTTCTAACACATGCTCTAACCGCAGGGTGCACTATCTGTGTAACTCCTAATGAGAATAAAAGGAACCTATGAAAAATGGAGTGCCCCAGTATTCTTGGGGGACACAATACAAATGAGGAAAAAGTGAATGGACACCTCCGTGCAAATGCACAGAATGTCAGTGAAGTCATAATCACAAGATAAAGGAGGGCTCTCAAATTAGGTAAAATTAATTATTTACAGGAAAATGCTAGCAGGAATCATCCCTCTCCTGATGATTAATTGGTAAGGCATCCATCAGACCCTAAGAATATTGTTAAGGAAGTCAGTATAACTATATTTGTAACTTGTGCATAGGTCTTTATAGGATTTTTAAATGCTTGGGTAATCATAACCTTAATTGTAACTTTAATAAAACTTGTAAAACGGAGTAGAGCCATGTCTATATTTAGAAGCGTACAGTGGCATAGCAGTACTGATACAGCTCTGCTGCTGTAAGAGTGCTTGTGTATCCGCATCATGCCAGTGGGAAAGAGTCTACCGTCAACATCATAATACCAGCTGAATGAGTGGCAGTAGCTATGTTGGCGGGAGAGCATCTCCCACCGACATAGCGCTGTGCGCATGAGCGCTTATGCTGGCAAAACTTATGTCACTCAAGGGTGTGTTTTTTCACACCCCTGAGCAACAAAAGTTTTGCTGACGTAAGTGCTAGTGTAGACATGGCCTAGATCTTGTACTTGTGTGTACTTGTATGTGTGTTCCTAGACACTCTGAATCTGAAGCAGGTATCAGAAGTGGCTTTCACTTTGTTGAGCTCGAAACTGAAGCCACCAGAGCCGAACCCCATGGTGGTGTAATACAACATTATTAAATTCACTTTAAATAAAATACAAGGCTACAGTTTACTGGGAGGATTAAGGCGTAATGACTGAGTATTGTGGAGCACCATTCTTAATGCCCCTTTCATTTCTTTCTCCTATCTCCATACATTTTTTTCACGCTATTGTCTACACGAACATCATTTCCATCCTCATTCATTAAACTGTGACCCTCTTTTCATTCAACATCTCCTTTAAAATTTGCTTTTTCTATGAGGGCCACTAATAAAGAATTTAGAATTGGGGGAAAAACCCAAACCCAGTAATGTGTTCCTGCATTTAGATATCCCAGTGTGTCTTCTGTTTGTGTCCCTCTTAGATGCCAAGCCTGCAAACTGGCTTTGCATTGTCAGGCTCCAGTCGCCATACAGAACCACACTGACTTCATTTCAACTCTGCATGGATGGATGATTCCATTTATATGGAGCAGCTTGGAGGTTCAAGGCTTTAGATTGTAAAATCAGGGATTACTAAACTATACATGATGTTTGCTGAATAGAATGTAGGAGTTAGTCTATTTAACAGTATCTTGGGTGTACACTTTCTGTGCGTCTTTCTGAAAATGTTTTTGGGTGTGTGTAGATGTCAATAAAATTGAAATAAATAACCAAATACTGTTGAAAGAGGGTGTGCTCCCCAATAATGATGCGAGGCAGTAGTGTGGTATGACAGAGGTGCAAACATGGCTATAAAAATGGTCTTGTTGAGAAGACCATAAAGTGAACATATTTAATGAGAAAGTATGCTATATGTTTTTAAGGCTAGGAACGGATGCTCTGTATATATAAGTACCAAATAAAATGTGTAATAATATAAATAAGACAGGATGGGTAAGGTAATACCTTTTATTGGGCTAACTTCTGTTGGTGAAAGAGACATGATTTTGAGCTTACACAGAGCTCTTCTTCATGTCTGGGAAAGGCACTCAGAGTGTCACAGCTAAATACAAGGTAGACCAAATTGCTCAGCATAAGGACTTAACACATATTGTAAGAGATCATTCAAAGTGAAGTGGACAGTTAACATCTCTGCTGTCATAGGACAAAAGAGGGAATTAGTGGGTTATGGATAGTTGTAATGGGCCACAAATCCAGAGTCTCTATTCAGTCCACGATTTGTCGTATCTCACAAAGTTATGAATTTAAGCTCCCAGACTGATTTTTTTAAGATGATGTGCAGTCTTCCTTTGAGGACAAGGACTGAGAGGTCAGATATGAAGTGATCATTTTGTGAAAAGGGTTCGCCCACAGGTGATGCAGTGTTTTTGTCTTTCATCATTTTTCTGTGTGAGTTCGTTCAAGAGGATAGTGATTGTCTTCTTTCACCCAAATAGTTGTTGTTAGGACATTTAGTGCACTTGATGAGGTGCACCACATGTTGTGATAGGCATGTATAGGACCCATGGATCTTGAAAAGTGTGTTGTGGGGGTTATCATATGAACCGTAAAGATATGTCTTCAGGTTTTGCATCTCTTGTTCTGATAGGGTCTGGTGCCACTTTCAGTTGGTGTGTCCTGATCTGTGGGGAGCTTGCTTCTAATGATGAGCTTGGTGAGCTGTTTGAAGCCCAGAAGAGGGGGTTCAGGAAAGAATTTGGGGTTTAATGATACCAGTGTGGGTGGTAGGTGGTATCTAGGGGGGTTGCATTTGGAGGTTGTTGTTTTTTCTGTATTAAGGCAGGTTTATTCGAGGTATTTGGGTGCCCATTTCATGATGCAATCTACTTCTTGGATGGAGTGTCTTTGTTTGGTGAAGGTGGTTTTAAGTATGCTAAGGTATGCATCTCAGACTTTTCCTTGGATTATGTTCTGAGTTCCTGGTTGTAGACAAGAGATTTCTT